TGGAAGAAGGAATCTTTCTCTCTGCCTGCTTGATCTGGCTCTTGCTGGCAAGTCTGTTCCCTCACTGGCATTACAACCTACTTCTATTTTTTCCCAGTATCTTCTGAAGACTGAGACATCCAGCTGAGACGTCCAGCCTTGTGGGCATAACAACTACTGGATTCTTGGACATTCCAATGGTAGACAGCCATTGTTGAACTAGCTGGAACATAGCCTGTGAGTCATTCTAGTAAATCCCTACATACATATTTCTATAAGTTCGGTTCCTTTAGAAAACTCTAACTAATACACTTTCCTATGATTGAATTTAAATTGGAATTGTAAGGTGAAATAGCCCTTTTAGTCCCTAAATTGTTTTTGTCAGGATATTTTATCACAACAACAGAAGTGAAATTAGAAGAATTTCCCAAGCAAGACTGACCAGAACAAATTCAGAGTCGACAAGTGCTACGGAGTGACTATACATCTCCCCCAAATTCATGTGCTGAAGTCCTAGTCCCCAGTGTAACTGTGTTTGAAGATGGACAGGGATTTTAAAGAGGTCCGTAAGGCCGAATGAGGTAATGAGAGTAGATCTTAACACAAAACAACAGTGTCCTAGTAAGATGAGAGGCAGCTATTTCCTCTGGGCCATCAGCCATCATAGATTAGAGATTCATATAGGGACCTACAGAGTATCCTGGCTATGAAGTCATGGAAACTTAGTAAACAAAACAGCAGAGTGATCCATGGTATTGGGACCATCCACATTCTTTTCCTAGGGGTAGCGGGAGAAGGTTCATCAGACCCTCCCCTGATGTTCTAGCTGCCACTCCCTCCAGTCTTCTAGCTACTCGTGGTCTTGGGCTGCTAGAAGATATATCAGGTGGAGGATTAATTGGAGACAGGACTTGAGTGACACATTTTTCATGGCTTGTCTCCCTTATTGGGTGGGAATTTTGGTAACATCTGTTTTTGAGTCACTGTGCTCCTGTAACTAACCTCAATAAAACTGACGATGTCCACAAACTGGATCTGAGTAGAACTGTGTCTTTAGTCTGTCAGCACTCCATGTGTGATGAACAGGCATCTCTTGAAACCTTCCCCTCCCCAAAGTAACACGGCGGAAGTGGAAGCACCAGACACAAGGCATCATTTTAGAGGGTTTACATATATCAATGTGTTATGTGATTTTTTGTTTCCAGGGACATATAAAATTACCATCTGCCTCAGCCTAGGATAGCACCAACAGCTGAAGAATGATTCATACATGTTCATTTTGATGAGTAAAGTTAGTTTATCAGAAATTATTTACAGAGCTTGGGTGACTAGGAAGACTTACATTTTCCCCCAAAGTTGCCAATCTCCCCCGACATCCTGCCTACCACACTCTTATTTTACATGGCTCTAAATTCACAGCAGAATGAATGAAAACCTGGATTAGAGGCTACCAAATGTTAAAAACCATCCATGTGACTACAGGCTCAGACTGGAGACACAGAAACCCAGACTCTGGGAAAGTTGCTCATGGGTGTTCTGTAGTAATCTTTAATCAGGGATTCTGCTAATCTCAGAACACATTGGCTATAGGAAAAAGATGGTGTGCGCAGCTGCCATCTGGCATGTAGACCAGCTCACTACAAGATGGAGTTAGGATTTAGAGGACTGGTTATGTTATGACCTAATGTAGTGTTTAATCTCCACAAAGCATCATCATCCCCACGTCACAGATGAAGAAACCAACCAGGCAATGAGAGATTAGTAACTTGAACAAAATTATCTCTGGCCTATGGAATAGCTCGTCTAGAGACAGGCCATCTCTCCAGGGACTACACTTAGTCATAATAAGCATTAAAAAGGCTACGAAGAAGTTGAGGGACTGCCCTAAGAAACAAGGGCAAGCCTGGGCTTTACAGAGTGCACAAGAACAATGTCTTTGTTTCCTCAAGCATGAAAGACCATCTGCCCTTTTCTATTTTCTTTTCCAGAAGAGGGAGAATGGTTAAATGGCTTCTTTTATAAGAGTTGCTGTGGTCATGTTGTCTCTTTATACCAATAGAAACTCAAACTAAGGCACCCCTCTTGCTGGCCTCTTTCTCCCTAAGTAGTCCCCCTTCTGCTCTTATTAACTCAGTTCCCTTTAGGTTGGAAAACAGTATGCCCATAGAGGATGCTGCTGATATAGCCTGAATGTGGAAGTACTTGCTGTTTATATCAAAGGTTGCTCTACCATTGCCCTGATGCAGGAGGTGTTCAGTGTCATGTCAAAGGATGCCCTACAGCTTGCACCAGATGATGTTACTAGCAAAAGGCAGGCAGTGGTCATCACTGACTTGATGTAGTATAATTGCTATTACTCCTGAAGTATCCAGCAAACAGTTGTCTGTGGATGTTTTTTTTTTTGTTTGTTCTCCCTTTGCTGGACTACTGTCATCACATACACCAAAACCCATTTGGAATTTGTTATTCATCTTCTTCCCTCAGTGATGGGGGAGAAACTGGTTTCCACTTTAGAGATGCCTTAGCTTGTCAGCTCTCCTCCTCTGCCTCTTACTGGCAGAATCTTTGGCTGATTTTGGCATGGGTCTGGACAGGAAGTTGATTAAGTAGGAACACAAATATAGTTCCTATGACATAAACTTCAGGCATTAAGCCTTTCAGGACATTTTCAAAGAATTTGATATTGAATTGCTTGGAGTTTGAGTCTTGCTTAAAACCGTACAGTTAGTGGGTGGTAGCTACTGGTACATTTCAGTGTGGTTTTTAGATCTCTTTGGTAAATTGTAGAAACTATACATAGTTTCTCTGGGTAACGCTTATTCACACAGAGCTGGGAATATAATTCGTGAGGATTTCAATAAAAGCTCTTGTGATATAGGTTTTGACTATACAGATACTTCCCAATGAATTAAGGAGAGGAGGTGACTTCAGGACGGCATACTCAGATATACCTGCATGGATTTTAGTAACCATTCCAGCCAAATTTACAGAAGAAACCAAGTGAAAACATCTGGCTGTGCTGGGTGTGGTGGCACGAGCCTGTTTTCTCAGCACTTGGGAGCCAGAGGCAGGAGGGTCAGATATTCAAGGCAGCCTCAACCAGGTAGTGAGCGTAAGGGTAGCCTGAGTTCCATGAGACCTGGCTCATTAGGAATATAAATAAACAGCAACAACAAACAATGACAACAACAAACCCCACGCTGCTGTGATGATCAATCACAGATGAAATTGTGGGAAGTCGATGGTCTCAAGTTAAATAAATGTTACTCAGAAGATAAGAAGATAAATGTTATATCAGTTTTTTTTTTTAAGACTTGTCTTACTAGGAATCAGTGTACCAACGCACTTGGTGTGTCAGTTGCCCGGCCACAGGCAGAAGTTATACTGTAACTTCCTTTACACGAGTGCCGTAATTGCCAAATGCCTCACATGTCTGACTGCATTTCTGGGCATGTTAGTCTGTGAATGTCCACAATGTGCAAATCAGCACAGAGCTCAGATGGTTGGTATACACTCCAGTGACACTTCATTTGCATCAGATTTTTTTTTTTTTTTCTGAGACAGGGTTTCTCTGTGTAGCTTTGGAGCCTGTCCTGGAACTCACTCTGTAGACCAGGCTGTCCTTTAACTCAGAGATCTGCCTATCTCTGCCTCCCCAGTGCTGGGATTAAAAGCATCTGCCACCACCTCTTGGCTTGTTTTTTTTTATTGACACTAGCTCTCAGGTAACCCAGGCTGGCAGACTTACTATGTAGCCAAGGGTGACCTTGAATTTGCCATCCTCCTGCTTCTACCTCCTGAGTGCTGGGATTACAGGCATACAGCATCTCACTGTGCTGGACCTAACCTAGAGTAACCTAGAGGGCCTTGTGAAAGCCAGGCAAGCTCTCTCCTAATGGAGCTGTATTCCCAGCTCAGCGATGAGGCTTTTGATTGCACCCTAAGGTAGAAATCGGGGCTGGGTGAAGAAATGATAAGGGTTAGGGATTCTTACTCAAGACATAAGAACTCAAAGCCTATGGTAATGGAGAAGGCAAGTTGGCTTTCACCGAAATGTTAGAGTGGAGATGATCACTGTGGGTGTTGGGCATGGTCTTACATTAATAACTAACTATGTTGAGCTGGATGACTTCTATGGTCTCTTCAACTCTAGGATTTTATGAGTACTTGGAATAACAAAAACAGGTTCTTCTTATTTTAGAGGAAAACAAAATCAAATCTAGGATTCAGTGGGTCAGAACTCTAACTAGCATAACAACAAGTCATCTAACCAAATAGGAGTTCTCTGGAGATGATTTTGCTCTGCAAATATTTCGTTCATGCCTATTAGAAATTTCATGCCGTGGTTAGGTATTGGGGACACAGAGAGTTAAAAAGTGGTCTCTGTTCCTGAGGAAGGTGAAAACTTTAAAAACGACAGAAACCAACAACAATGATGATGATGACAATAGTAATAGCAGCAACAAAATCATGACTATTCATTAGGAACACAGTGTGGGCCAGCTCCTAGTCTTAATGCTTTTATATCGTCTTATAACTATATCACTATAGCCCAGTGCGATGGGTGCATCCTGTTTAAAGAAGGAGGAAAGGGAGACAGAGCAGAGCATAATTAATTGCTCCGTTAGTAAGTGATAGACAGTCTCGGAGGCAGAGTGGCTTCGCAGTCCAGGTCCTTAAGCGCAGACCTAGCCCTTCCCCTGCACGCTGCACACTTTCCCTGCAGCCCGCACTGGACTCCCCTGCTTTCCTCCCATCAGCATCTCTGACTAGACTCCTCGAGGCCCTTCACAGTTCCTCTTCCTCAGACCACATCAATGCACGCTCTCCAAAGCTCTGCCTGGGCTTCCACGGCGAGCCTTTACATTGGGTCCTGCCAGGTCTGTGTTCCTGGACCACAGACTCATGGTTGTGTCTGGCTCAGACATTTAGCTGCCTCTCGGTGTATCTCTACCTGGATGTCTACAGGCTGCTGGTGCTCTGTATGATATTGCTAGACTGCATCCTTGTCTTCCTCATACGCTCTCTTCTTGGGTGCGCTCCGTGTCTGACGTGAGTCCCGCCATGTTGGGGAGCTCTGGGTTGTATTGACTTCACATTCTTTCATTTTTTGCATTGACGTTTCCTCTCATGGAGACCCTGATAATTTTTATTTTAACCACTGAAGACCTCCTGAGTAGTTCTTTGCCTTTAATCTTTATTTTCCTTTAACTTTTGAGAGCGACCCTCTCCAGGCTTGTGGTTTTTCTGCCTCTGCCTCCCAAGCACTAGGAACACAGGTATGTGCCACCATAGCTGTCAGTCTTGTTTTAAATTCATCTTTCTTTGAACCGTGAAAGCAATCTCCCTAAAACACAAATCTTTTCCTTTTTTTTTTTTTTATGAGACAGGGTCTATGTAGCACAGGTTAGAAAATGGACCCTCTGCCTCAGCTGCTAGGATCACAGGTGTCAGTCATCACTATCACCCCACCAATTATTAAAAGATTGTCTTATTAGCACAAAATTACTGTACAAAGTAAAGGGTTTGCTATGACTTTTCCATATTTGTATGAGTGTTGATCGTATTTATCCCATTACTCTTTATTGTTCCCCCTCCTTTCCTTCTCTTCCATTCCTCCTCAGCATCCCTTTGCCTTACATTTTAATTTAACTTCATTTTTAGCCATACTGGGGGTGGAACCCAGGCCCTTCTGCGTGGCAGGCAAATGCTCTGCCAAGTGAGCTAACCCCTGAGCCTAAAACACAAGTGTTACACTTGTATAAATAAACTCCTCAGAGGCTTCCCACCGCTTGCAGAAGTGTCCCTTAAAGTGGTGGTTCTTGGGCAAAGTGCCCCAGAGCCATGGACACTTGACAAAATGGAAGATTTCTAGTGTGTTCCCAGACTGGCTCACTCAGGGTCTCCTGGCAGTGCAGCCGGCAGATGGGTATTTGCACCGTCTTTCCAGCCTGACTCTCAGCTGACAGACTGGATAAGCAGCCTAAAATGATGTGGGTATTCTGATGTCTGATTTTCTCTCCAGACTCACCTCTTTCTGTCTAATCTCTCCAAGTACCCCCGTGTTGTTGTTGTTATTATTTACAGTGCTGAGGGTTAAATCCAGGTGTTGGGCATGCATTCACTACTGGGCTGCACCCCCAGCTCTGTCCTGTGGTGTCTTCTACTCAGTCACAGGCATGAACAAATCCCCGGATGTCCTTGCCATAGGTCCTTCTGCCCAAGCTACCTTTCCTGCCCCCATGCTGTGGATGGCTTCTTCCACTGCCCTTCTCAGGCTTCCAGTTTTATCATAAAGCATCTTGGCCCCTCCAGTCTCCAGACTCAGTCATTCGAGCATCCCCAGACTCGCCTTGCACACCTTGTCAGTCCTTACGACATTGTCCGTGTTTCTGTCTTCGCCTCCAGCTTGCCACCTTTTGATAACAGGTTCCCTGTACCAGTTTCCTTTCAGTTCCCAGGGCGGGCACAGCATCTGCTCGGTAGTACGCGCTCCTGAAGTGTTTATGATGGTGAGTGAAATTACAGTGTGCCCGGGTGGCAGCACAGGACACTGAGGAAGCACCGAGAGGGACTGCACATCTGCCTGGAAGACCCCAGAAGAGGAAAGGCGCTGCTGGCTGGGGGAGCTTCCAGGGAGAGGGGAGACACTTGCTACAGTTCCACCCAGGGGACCTGAGGGAGGAAGGAAGAGAGACACAGGCTTCCCACCAAGCTCAATCGGACCCACAGTACCGAGACCTCGGGGGAATAGCGCCACCTACTGTACTGAGGTGGCTTTCCCGCCCCGTGAGCGCAGAGAACTGGGTGACAGTCAAGACACTGAGAGTTTCAAGTTAAAATTTCTCTTAGTGGCAAATGCAACATGTTCAACAAGTGGAATGGTAATGAATGGTAATGAAATTTGTGACATATTTTTTTTTGCCACAAAGTCTTGTAAAAGAACCCCATTCTCATTTACACACACACACACACACACACACACACACACACACACCAATAACACAGTGACCTATCCAATGTGGATGTGGGGACCTAAACTCTGGGCCTCTGCTGTACGTGTCCTTAGCCTTAAGCTGTCCTCTGACCTCCACAGGAAGGCCGGGTCACGCACACGCATGCACACAAATATCACGTAAAAATAAATAAATAAAAAAATAAAAAAATAAAGCTTTAAAAGAGACGCCATGCTGAATTATCTTGTGATACACGTTTCTCTTGATTTCCCTCCCTTCTCCTTCCTGGGATTCTCATCCCTGTGTTATGTGTGGACCCAGGCCACCTGCCCTTTGCAGACTTTTATTTACACATAGTAACGATAGACCTAGGACGAGAGCACAGATACGTTGGGGCATAGCCTCTGAGCACTTCATGCTTCCTTTCCTTTTTTCACTGTGCTCTGCAATCTCTGTAGACTAGCGTGCTCAGTAAGCCACAGGCTGGAGGGTTCAATAACACTGCTTTTGACACTATCTTTGTTTAAGGCTATTTTTCCTCTGAAGTTCAGAGTTCAGTTTTTAAGTCTTTTTCTAGGAGAAGAGACCATGGGCGTCTTACTTCTCAAGTATTTACAAACAGTCTAATGTCCCAAAGGGCATTTCTCTTTTTACATTGTAAAAATGCATTGGGTGGTATAAAGGCCAACCTTGGTTGTTAAATTGACTGAGTCTGGCATCAACCAAAAACAAGCCGTATTAATGTTGGGTTAGTTTAAACTGGATGATGCACGCAGAACATGAGTAGCGCCTTCTAGTGACAGCACAGACAAAAGGGGGTCTGAGGAAAATGCTTTGCCTTTGCCTGCTGGCCTTCGCTCTTGCTGGCAAGCTCAGCTACTCTGCTGTTGCCGCCGCAGCAACTCCATTCCTTTGCTGATAGCAGAACCCAGCTTCTTCAGACTTTCCAAAATGGGCTGACGGCCAGTAGCTTTCCAGGATCCACCGGGCCTCACTGCTAGCGTGGGACTGACGGGGCACTCTACTGGTTGAGAAGCTACTGGGTTCTCAGCCTCTGCAGTGTACAGATAGCCACCACTGGACTGAACAGACAATACCAGGTAAGCCTTACAAACGAAGGAGCTCCCTCCTCTCTTATCCCCCCTCTTCCTTCCCTCTCATTCTCTTTCCTCATCCTATTTCCCATCCAGTGGCCATCTGCCTCGGACTTGTGAGTAGCTGGGCTTACAGTAACACACCATCGTGCCTACTGGCAAAGGTGTTTTAAATGGAGACCAATACGGCCAGGTCAATGTTTAAAAGACCATTTTGGCCAAAGTGTAGATAATGTATTCATGGCCTGGGAGGGCAATGTGTGTAGGATATCAGGGCAGATTTTAGCGGCAGAATTTTAACTAAAAATAAGCAAACCAAGCAATCAGCCAACAGAAATAACCCCACAAATAGCCAGCAAGCCATTAAACTGCCTAGGTCTGAGACAGTGAGAAAGGGAAGTTAAGCTGTTATGGAACCGTGTTTTTTTTTTTTTTTTTTTTTTTTTTTTTTTTTTTTTTTTTTTTTTTTTTGGGGGGCGTTGGCTAAGAGGCTTAACACCACAGCAGCCATTTAGCAATGCCCGAGACAGTTTTGGTTGTCCAAGCTGGAAGGGTAACACTAGCATCTAATGGGTGGAGGTGGTGTTGCTGAATATCCAACTGATGGAGAATGTACTTCTTTGTATGTTTATCTTATTGATTATTGAATAAAATACTGTTTGGCCAATGAGACAGCAAGTTAAACGGGACTAGGAGTCAAAGAGGATTCTGGGAAATGTAGTAGAAAAGTGGTGTTCCAGGCAGGAAGTGACATAGCAAGGAGACTCATATTTAAGAAAGGAGAAAAAGGAAGGGTCCCTTTATCCCCCTTGCTCCTCCAGTGGCGCCGTGTGAGCCACTGGCAAGAGAGGGTGCCAGCGAAAGGCATCCTCTATAAGTCTTATAAAATATATAGGTTTATGAAAATTAAGACTGAGCTAACAGATGAGGAATCATAGTCATTGGCCAAGCAGCATTGTACCTAATACAAGTGTCTTTGTGTATTAATTTGGTCCCTAACTCAGGCGGGTGGCTGGTGTAAAGTGCACACGTGGTGGTGGGGCTCGGCTGGCAGAAAGATTTATCTTAACATCCAACAGCACATAGAGTAAGGAATTTTGTGACCCAAAGGCTGAAGAGATGGGTCAGGCAGCAAAATGCTTGCCTAGCTAGCACAAGAATTGGAGTTCCATTCCCAGAACCCTCATTAAAAAGGCTGGGTATGGGGGCATGCTTGTAATTCCAGTGATGAGGAGGCCTAGAAAAGTGGATCCCTGGTGCTTGCTAGCCAACTAGCCTAGCCTACTTGTCGAATTCCAGATCAGTGAGAGACCTTACATACACACATACATACATACATACTCACTCTCAGGTTGCCTGCACACACATACACAAGCTCCTGCACACACTTGTGCACACACATGCACACAAATGATGTGACCCTGCTGAGGCCGAGGAATTCGGATGCAGATGGCGAGAAGAAACAGGCAGGGCAGCATGATGGAGTGTGGAGTCCCGGGGAGAGGATAGTTCATCCTGGCTCTTAGGTGATGGAGTGTGGAGCCCCGGGGAGAGGATAGTTCATCCTGGCTCTTAGGTGATGGAGTGTGGAGCCCCGGGGAGAGGATAGTTCATCCTGGCTCTTAGGTGATGGAGTGTGGAGCCCCGGGGAGAGGATAGTTCATCCTGGCTCTTAGGTGATGGAGTGTGGAGCCCCGGGGAGAGGATAGTTCATCCTGGCTCTTAGGTGATGGAGTGTGGAGCCCCGGGGAGAGGATAGTTCATCCTGGCTCTTAGGTGATGGAGTGTGGAGTCGTGGGGGAGAGGATAGTTCATCCTGACTCTTAGGTGATGGAGTGTGGAGCCCCGGGGAGAGGATAGTTCATCCTGGCTCTTAGGTGATGGAGTGTGGAGTCGTGGGGGAGAGGATAGTTCATCCTGACTCTTAGGTGATGGAGTGTGGAGCCCCGGGGAGAGGATAGTTCATCCTGGCTCTTAGGTTTCTGATAAGGTGACCAGACACGGACCCCGAAGAGA